TTCTGGTGCCATCATTGCTGAGATGACTACAGCATTATCCCTAAAATAGTCCAGGTATAATGTCAAAGGGGAGGAAGACTGGGAAGATAAGACGGAGGGGTCTTTTCTCTCTACTGCTAGAAATGCATTTTTCACCAGAAAAGAAACAAGGCTCTGATAATAAACAGCTTCCCAATGCCAAAATTCTGCTATCATAAGTGGGGTTTTTGTTTTTGTTAATATCTTATGAATTTGAAATCTAGTCTCCTCCATTTGCACAGTGGAAGGACATTTATAAAGATCATTTTTCATTTTAGTTCATTGGCACAGGAAGTCCTGCGATGTCTCCTTTAGGCTCAAAACACAGCTAACCCTTGCCTTGTTCCTCCAAGACTACAATGTGATTGCTGAGTAAGTCACGGGGCTTTACCAATTTCCCCATTCCCTGAAAACACTCAAGGGCAGAAAGGCAGAGAACACAATTGTGTGACCTTTTGTACTCAGTGGAAATAATGGATACTATTATGGCTTTAAGTTCAAGGATAATGACAGTGGAAACCTTGCCATATTACTATAACAACCTTATTAATAGCTGAGAGGGAAATTGCCTTTATTTGTACAACAATCATAAATGACTTTCCTATTCAGGTAGGCCTTCCAGAGACTACTTCATACACACAGATGCCGACTGCTGTAACCCAGGCCCCTCTCCCACAGCCCTCTCTGCGCTCGGTCCAGCTGGATGCTCCAAGAGGGAGGGAGGTTTCAAGGCAAAGAAACCCTAGCATTTCCCTGAAATGATGTTAGACAGATTTCTAATCTCATGAGAGAGGCCTGTTTCTCAAGCTTTATGGAACCTGCATCTATTGTTTTTCACGGGCCAGAGATCATAAGGTAAAAAGTGAATACACGAAGAAGCAGTGATGTGAATATCAGCCATGGACAGAAATCAGATCTTTGCTGCCTCCAGCTTCTTTCCTGCCACCATGTAACCCTCCCTGTTCCCATCACCACTCAGCTGATTAATCACATGAAGCTCTGTAACACCATCTCAGTGATTCTCACCCATCCTCCCCATGGGGTTTCTCACTCTTCACCCCATGATCACCATCAGTCAATAACATTGTATGAAAATTTGTATTGTGTAGTTTTTAAAATTTTTTATTTATTGATTTTAGAGAGAGAGAGGAAAGGAGACAGAAAGAGAAACATTAATTTGTTGTTCCATTTTATTGATTCATTCACTGATTGATTCTTGTATTTGCCCTCATGGGGGATCGAACCCGAAACCTTGGCAAATGGGGACACTCCAGCCAACTGAGCTAAAGCAATACATATGCTAAATATGCTTTCCTAACCCTCCCTCCTCCTTCCCAACAGACTGCCCACTGCCAGGAGTGCTCTAGACTTTTACATCACACCTGTGCTAATAGTATGTTTTGATTGGCTTCCCAAATCCAAACCAAATTCATCACTTTTACTAGTTCTCAACAAGGAACCTCAAGATGGACTCTGAGCACGGTCCGTTGTATTTTGGGAAATGACAACCATCAACTCTTCTCTGACTCTGTATTCTTTATATCTTTCTGCCAAGACTCTTAGTGGAAGTGTACATTTGAACAGCCACTTTGCAGGACAAATTGGGTAGTGTCTATAAGCATTTAAAATTCAGAAGCCCTCTGACACAGTAATTCTACTTCTGGATCTGTACTTCTGAAACCATCTGGGGCAAAATAGAAGATTTAAAAAAAATTTCCACTGATCATGGAAGTCACGGCCATGTGAATTTGAAAACTCTTGAATGTTGTATTTATCTCATCACAGACCAGTAACACCCAGTTGCAGCCCAGCGTCAGTCTGCAGAACACTTTCAGTATCGCTGTACTAAACTTATTTTATTCTCTAGAGATATGTCTATGTCAACATGAAGACATAGTATTATAGAATTATTTGTAATACCAAAAGATTAGAAGCAATCAAAATGTTCATCAATGAAGGACTGGGAAAATAACCTATGGTTCCTTCATATAAAGCAGTACTATGCAGTCATTAAAAAATATATACACTCTGAGAAATGTTAGGTGAAAAGAAAAAAATGTAGAACATTGTTATAAAGTCTGCTCCTTTAGAGTAGATGAGCAATTGAAGGCTCAAATGTGCAAGTGGAAAACTTCCAGAAGTTGTAACAGATACTTCTAGCTGTCTACCAAATCTCTTCTCCTTTTCTGCCACAATTATAAACTTCTCACTGGGAATATGTCCCAGAACACCTTCCTGTCACAAAATACCAGAGATGGGGTGGCTTATAAAAAACAAAAATTTCTTTCACAGTTCTGGAGGCTGGAAGTCCAAGATCATGGTGCTGGCAGATTTGGTGTTTGGTGACAGCCCACAAGGATGTCACATGGCAGAAGAGCAAGGGAACATTCTTGGGTCAGTTTCATACGGGCACCAATTCCACTCTTGAGGGCTCTGCTCTTATGACCTAATCACTTCCCAAAGGCCCACCTCCTAATACTATCACCTTGGCAGGTAGGTTTCAACATGAATTTTGGGAGGACACAAATATTCAGGCCATAGCATATGGGATAGAGAAATAAACTTCTGTATTGTTGGGTCTCTTTGTTAAGGCAGCTGAGCCTTTACACTATAATACAAAAGAATACACAAGAATCTTTACTAGTGATTGTCTCTAGGAAGCGAAGTTGTGTTGGGAGGGAGGTTAAATTTCACTGTACATCCTTTTGTAAAATTTGAACTTTAAGAACTTAAAATCAGGTATTAGCATACGTACATTTAAAAATAACAGAAAAAGAGAACAATGCTGACTTTCTCTTTAACAAATTATAGGTCTGATTTTCCCATACCAGTATCTTAAATGAGGCATAAGTGAGTTTCAGAAACAAATGTTATTAACCACAGATTTCGCTATCTTCACTTTATGAAGATATTTGCAAGGAAGGTAAAATTGTCTATGACGTTCACTAACTTTTGATTCTGTCAACAGACACTGCTAAAGTGTTTGAGCTTACCATACTTCCCTAATCACTAATGCTAGTCAAAAATTTATAATTCTGTTTTACCAAAACAATCAAGGAACAGTGATGAGCTTCTACCAGACCACAAATAACTTTGGCATTAACAGAGATGAGATGTAACTGCCCCTGACCATTTTTTTAGGGTGTCCCTTCCTGGAATGACCCTGCTTGTAGATAGTTGTTCCCATGCTTCAACAAACACCAGCACGGCACAGCTGGTGTGGCTCAGGGTTTGAGCATTGACCTATAAACCAGGAGGTCACAGTTCCATTCCTAGTCAGGACACATGCCCGGGTTGCGGGCTCGATCCCCAGTAAGGGACGTGTAGGAGGCAGACGATCAATGACTCTCATCATTGATGTTTCTCTCTCTGAAATCAAAAGACTTTAAAAAACAACAAACACCAGCACAAATATCTTCCTATAAACACCATGGTCACAAAATGGGGTTCAATGTTAAAGCTAAAATTGCCCTTGGCAAACTCATGCTGACATCTACTTTGTCCACATTAAATGACACTAGGACACGCCATTTTGTTCAGTTCCTTAGAAACACATATTTAAACAAACTCATCCTTCAAGATTAATAAGAGACTGCATGTACTTAAGGAAGGATGGTGCATTAGAGATTTTTCTTCTTTTCATTCTGAAGAGACTTTACTGTCTTATGCCCGTGAATTCCCTAAGGCGCCTCCCCAGGATCCCTCCCTGTGCTCGAGAGAGGGCGCTATGGACCGATGCAGAAGCGCCAAGGGGCCGGCGAGGCAGCCGGGAGCGCCCAAGTTGTTTCATTTGGGAGGAAAGCATAAAGGGTGCCCGCAAGTAGGCATTTTGACTTTGTCTTCCGAGTAGGAGGTAAAGAGAGAATTAACTTTTCTGTTAATAATGATGGGAACTTACAAATGTCACGAAAACTGTTTCCCCTTTGATTTCTACCAAATATTTTTTAAAAGTATTCTCAGAAAACCCAGTGTAGATGCCAATTTCTTTTATATTATAGATCTGTTTCCCTACTGTTTGTTTATCACATGCTCCTCATGTGAAATGAAGCATTTTTAATTATTCAAGATTTACAGTGATGACAATTGACAGATGCTCCAAATGCTTCCTATTTAGCTGCATACTCTAACTAATAGTTAAGAAATAAAAAAATAAACCACTTAAAAGCTATCTATATCAACCTTTAAATGGCATCTATACCTTAGAAGGAAATATTATAGCCAATATTTATAAAAGTAACTCTAAAAGAAAGACTAATGCAACCACAGCATAATATAATCATGTAGCCATGGATGTATGATAAATCTAAACAGCAACTTAACATCAGAACTATTAGTTACAGTTTCAAAAGTTCTTAGATATTGAAAGGAAGGTGGAGAAGGCCACTGCTTGGATGGCTCGCAATGATCCCGCCTCCTGATATTCACAGTCTCTGACTGAGGCCATCACAACCACTCACCAGTGTCAGACTAGTTTCCCTGGACTGAGACGATCATTCTCACTGAGCTGGTGGGGCCTGTGATTTACTTCTAACAAAGAGAAAATGGACAGAGTAATGGTATATCACTTCCCTGATTAGATTACAAGAAATGTTGCCTTCTGTCTTACCAGCAAACTCTCTCTCTTGCTGGCTTTGATGAAGCAAACTGCCATGTGGGAGAGGTCCACGTGGCTGAGAACTGAGAGCAGCCTTTGGTCAACAGCCCAGAAGGAAGCGAATCCTGAAAACAACCACATGAGTGGGAGTTTGGGGGTCTCCCAAAGGCTGCAATCTTAACCCCAGGAGATGCCTGTGGCCCTGGCTAACACCTAGATGGCAGTCTTTGAGAGACCCTGAGCAGAGCACCTAGCTAAGCCATACTGGACTCTTGACTCAGAGAGACTATGAGATGACAAGTTGTGTCATTTTAAGCCACTAAATTTGGGGGTAATTTGTTACACAGCAATAGATTACAAAGGCAGAAGGCTCATTGCTTTGCCTTTGTATTATGTTGGTAAACCACGATTTAACATCAGTTAGTATTGCTTAATAGAATCAACATACAAATTGTTATACCGTGAATCGTTTTCTGTTAAGACCACGTTTTTCAGAGTTTGCCAAAACAAGCCTTCTGCCTTGGGGTTGTCGGGCCACTGGAGGATGGAACTCTTGCAGATTCTCTGCCGTAGCCTCAAATACTGAGAATGCTGCAACACTGGCTCCAGCAGAATGAACACAATCACATCCATGTTCTCATCCATCAGCCTCTGCAAGGCCAAGTAGAATGCTGTTTTAAAGCTCCAGCTTCTTGCATATTTCCTGGTTAAAACAAATATTGTTTTCTTGCTCTGGTTGATGCTCTGCATGAGGTTATCAATGATGGCCAACCCTGGGTCCCAATCCCTCTCTTCTAAACAGAGGAGCACATTTTTCTCTTCACTCTCCTCCAGGTGGAAGCGCAGCTCGTTGATCACCCAGTCCGTTACAGAGGCATCTTTGGTGTCATAAGAAACATAAGCATCATAGAAAGTTTGCGATGTAGAAAGAGACCGGTAGCCTTTTACCTTAGCTAAACACACGTGATAAATATACCAAACATCCCAGTAAAACCAGTGGTGAGCCAGGGCAGCCAACATAACCGTGATGGTGATGAAGGATGTGAAGAAACACAATATGGCCGCAATGGTGTCTGAAACACACGTGGTTAGCTCTAGACTCACAATACTCTTCCCTTTTTGATCCCCGGGACTGGCACACATGACATCTATCAGCCTAGGAATTATGACATGTGAATTTTCATCCATCCAACTTAGAAAGTCTCCCATGTCACAGGTACAGTCAAAAGGGTTTCCATGGAGTTTCAACAGGGCTAGCTTGGTGGCGTTGTTCGTTTGAAATGTGGATCTGTTGATCATTTTTAGCTGGTTGGAACTTAAATCAAGGTTTACCAGACTGCTGTTTTCGGAAACAAAGCCGGAGGGCAGGTGCAAAATCCTGTTGTCACTCAATAGTAGCGTCTCAAGAGATTGTGTGAATTTAGACAGGCTGTAAGTTAGATAATGTAGCTGGTTTCTACTTAAGTCCAGCATCGTGAGAACAGGAAAGTGCTGGAGTAACGTCCAGTTAAAGAAATGTAACTTATTATCATTTATATACAGGCAGGTGAGTGTCCTGGGCAAGTTAATGAACGCTTCGTCTGGGATATGCTCAAGGTTGTTAAAGGACAAATCAAGCCGTTTCAGTATCTTGAGATTTCTAAAAATGTACATGTACCTCTTATCTGCAGCCTTCCACAAAATGTCAAGGCGATTTCCACTGAAAACTAAATTTGTCAGGGACATGCTACTCAGATTGTACTCTGTTAATGTATAAATATTGTTGTGGCTCAGATTTAAAGTGTTCAGCTTTGTTAAATTTTTAATAAATCCTAGACGGTGTGTTACCCCTGCTATTTGGAAATAGTGCTCATTGTGGCTGAGATCTAGAACTTCTAACTCAGGCAATTCATTGAAAGCACTATCACAATCAAAGTCCAGTTTATTGTTTGTAAAATCCAAATATTTGATACGAGGCAGTGCTGAAAATTCACTTCCATTTAATGCTTGAGCATTGCCATTGGAAGTCAGATTTAAGCAGGAAATGTTAGGAAAAGCTTCAAATTGCTTTTGCCCAATAAAGAAAATATTGTTCAAGCTTAAATCTATGGCAGTGCCATAATTTGCACATTCTGGCTTTATTAAAGGATTGGTGCTGTGATAAAAATTCGAATGTGGGTCAAACTCACTATCTGCTGAGCGTGGTTTAATGACATGGCCTTGGCCAGTGGAGAAATTTGCACCACTTTGCCTGTTACCATTTACCAAGGGTGATATTCTGTTTACTGACAAGTAAATGACTGACAGGTTGCGGAAATGTTGGAAAATGGTAAAATCAATTTGATTAATAAAATTAACTCCCAAGTTGATAGTGTTTAAATGTGAGAGATTCATCAGGGGCTGGAAATCTTTATATCTAAGGTTTTGGAACACATAACCTCTTAAGTGCAAAGTCCGGAGAGATCTAAGCTTAGAGAAGTTTCGGGAAAGATTAACGTATATGGGATATTGTGTCTTTACATAGTTATAAGATAAGTCAAGTATTTCTAAGTGGGGCAGTTTTGTTAAAAATTCCCCAGAGGCTATTTCTTGTACCAAGTAGTTGAATTCAAGATGCAGCTCCTTCAGATAAGGCATCTTGTCAAACCAGCTTGAATTAATCTTCCGGAGAGAAGTGCTAGACAAGTTGAGGTATTCAAGTTTGGTCAAGCTATCAAAAGCATTACCATCTATAGAAATGGGAGCATCTCCTGCACAAGGTGTACAGGGAAACGGTGCATTGAAACACCTTGGACAGTTCCCACTTAAATCTAGTACTGTTAAATTTCCCAGGTTCTTGAAGTCGTCTTTACGAATGGTGTTGATTTTGGTGTTGCTAAGATACAGTTTTGTTAAGGAGCTTGGCAGGTTGAGTGGCACGCTGAAAAGGTTATTAAAGGATAGTGTTAGCTCCTTCAAATTTGTAATCTCTTTGAATGCTCTCTTGTCAATAAAAGTTTTATTACAAACATTGCCAAAATAGCAGTTCCAGCCCAAGTTGAGCCTTTCCAAATTCTTAAGTCCAGAAGTGTTGTTTTTAGTTACAGAAATTATGTTGTTTTGAATTAGACTAAGATATCTCAAAGACCCCGGCAAATCAGAGGGTATTTTGTTTAACTGGTTGTTTTCAAGTAGTAACACCACTAGGTTTTGCAAGTTGAGGAATGCCCCGTCTGTAATATTCATGCCTTTTTTATTTCTAGAATAATTTTCAGAGTAGGGCTGTACCATCGCATTGCGGTTTAGATTGATCTCAGTAAGATTTTGCAGCCTTTGAAATGATTCATTCGTTACGTGTGTTATTAAATTATCAGACAGGTCTAGTTCCGTGACATCTTGGCCCACAGTTTGGGGAACTTCTTGCAGTCGACGATTGTTGCACTCGGCAATAACAGCGGCACCTTGTATTCTCTCATCACAAGGAAAACTTCTTCTAGAATAATTTGTTTCAGTGAAGAACTCACAGGAATCGGAGATTAGCAGGAAAAGGCAGGTCAGAAGCAAAGACTGAAGGGTCATGTTTTCCTAAGGAAAATCAAAAGTGGAGGCACAATATTAGAGCAGTAATATCTGCCAGGTATTTTCGTGATGAAATCAACAGTGTTTCACCATACTTTGTATGAGTTTTGAAGTGGGAGTTCTCTTAACAATGAAATAAGTTGCATTGAATTAGGTTCAGAATGATTTTAAGTTTTCACTGTGTTCAGTTTCATGGTGCTAAAAGATGTTAAGATGGAGTTATCTGAGATTTTTTTAAAAAATCCTCACCCAAGGATATTTTTTCCATTGCTTTTCAGAGAGAGTGGAAGGAAGAGAGAGAGAGAGAGAGAGAGAGAGACATCGATGTGAGAGAGACACATCAATTGGTTGCCTCCCACACGTGCCCTGACTGAGGCCAGGGATCGAGCCTGCAACTGAGGTATGTGCCCTTGACTAGAATCGAACCCAAGACCCTTTAGTCTGTGGGCTGACACTCTAACAACTGAGCCAAACTGGCCAGTTTTGATGATGAGAAAACCTGGGAAACTTTTGCAGAGGCATTAATCAAGATGCTCCCACCACCGTGATGGGGCTGATGCCGAACAATTGTATGGATCATGCTAGATGTATAGCACAACAAGCTAAATATCTATAGTTTCAACCTACTAATATAACACTAGATGAAACTTTGGTCAGTCCCAAGCAGAGTTCAGATCCAACTTCTATTCCAGTATCATCATGATCTCCAGGCAAGAGCTATTCTACCTTATCTGCACAACCATGCCTCATTGTTGGCATTTTCCACAATTTTCCCACACCTCCATGATGGCACCTATGAAGTTCTCTTATCTCCTTACATGACGGGACAGTGGATACCTTCTGTTGATAATGATAACAACGAAGTACCAGTTATGGTGCTAAACATAAACATTTTCTCACCTGTGTCAATGCTCACAACACAGCAAGACAGGTTCTATTATTATCCACACTTTGTAAATGAAGCAGCAAACCTGGAGGCTTAAGTACCTTGTGCAAGGGCGATACACGGTGGAACTGGGACTTGCGGCAGGACGAGTCCAGCGCCCTGTTTTAACCACTAGCCACCATGCTCGGAATCTCAGTTTGAAATCTTCCCGCCAGAACAATGCATTAAATGCAGACCAGTGATTTCCAGCCTTTTTCATCTCATGGCACACAAACTACTAAAGTTCTGCGGCACACCAAAAAATATCTTTTTCGGATTTGACAAAAAATAGGTATAACTTTGATTGATCTACCTAATAATAATAATAATAATAATAATAATAATAATAAATAGTAATTACCTACCCTTTTGCTCCAAAGTGACTTTAAAAAATCAAGTTCCTGTACTTTTATATAAGGATTTCTGGTACTAGAATTAGCCAATCAGACGCAAACTTATATGCGATGTGAGCAATAAAATGCAACTTTATTATATGACCTATATATTTATGGTTCAAAACAGGGCATTCACACCGGTCTCTCAAAGTCTTCTTTACTTAATGCTTAATGCTTAACTTTTAGCTGATGTGGTAGACAAAATTTTAAGATGGCCCCTATGACTTTTGTCCCCTGTTTCTCTTATAATTATGTTACACTGTGTGGCAAAATGGAAATTATCTAGATGGGCCTAATCTAATCATATGCACCTTTAAAAGCAGTCCGTTTTCTCCAGCTAGTAGCAGAAGGGAGTCAAAGAGATTGGAAGCAGGAGAAAAATGTGATGCACTACTGCTGACTTGAAGATGAAGGGGGCTTCGTGAATCTATTTATCATTCACGTGCTGGGACCACATTTTAATAATTACAGTTTTTGCCCTGGCAGGTGTGGCTCATCTGGTTGAGTATCATTCCATGGACCAAAAGATCACAGGTAGGATTCCTGGCCAGGACACATGCCCAGGTTGCAAGCTGGATCCCCATTGGGGGACGTGCAGGAGGCAGCCAATTGATGTTAATCTCTCATATCGATGTTTCTCTCTTTCTCCCTTCCTCTCTCTCTAAAATCAATAAAAACATTAAAAAAATAATAGTTATAGTTTTCAGGTATGCTAGTATTTGATAGGGCAATTTCTGCTCCTTCTTCTTTTGTGAATGGATCATTTCTATCTTACCTTCTAACAGGTCTTGCTGGTGTACACTCAAACTATTGATTTCTATATATTAATCTTATAACAAATTATTTGGAATAGTTGTTTCTCCATGTGATTTTTTTGGGTAAGCAATTAAACCACCTACAAATAACGATGATCTTCCTATAACCCTTTATGCAGTCTAACTTATTTTAATGGTCTAACTGCATCGCCTAGTTACTCCAGAACAATGAAAAAAATAATAGAGCAGAGGCAAACAAACAAAAAATCCCTGACTCATTAAACCAAACTACATTCAAATAAAAATTCTGCCTCACAAAAAACATGTAAACAATGCCAAAAGTGAAACAATAAGTTAGGAGAAAATATTTGCAATTGCTATCACAGATATGGGTGTAATATATTTGATATGTAAAAGATTCTTTATGTATAAGAAGACAACCCAATAGAAAAATGGAAAATAATATATTCACACACAGTTCACAGAAAAAGGAAACACAAATATCTCTTAAACGTAGGAAGATATACTCAGCTTCACTCCAAAAAACTCCACTGAGGTAGCATTTTTTCACAGGTTCTACTGTGTAGGTGAGGAGTGGAGAAACGGCCACTCTCATATCTTGCTGATAGGAGTCTCAATTAAGGCCACCTCTAAGACAGAGAGCAATCTGTAATATCTATAAACATTGGAAACATACTTAGCCTCAGCAATTTTGATTCTAGAAGTAGGTCCTAAAAATGAAGTAGATCGTCATGTGTGCAAATGATTATGTACAGGGATGTTCAAGGTAGGGCTGTTAGCAATAGCAAAAGATTGGAAATAATTTAAATGCCTATGAGTAGTGGTCTGCTTAAAAAATTATGTTATACTCATATAATGAAATCCTATGCAGCAATTAAAAATGAGAAGGCAGCTCTATTCTTTTACTCAAAAATATTTGTTAACCACAGACCTAGAACAAACATTTCGAAAATTTATATGGAACCAAAAAAGACCCCGAATAGCTGCAGCCATCTTGAGAAAAAAGAACGGAGTGGGAGGGATCACATTACCAGACTTCAAACTATATTACAAAGCCACTGTAATCAAAACGGCCTGGTATTGGTACAACAACAGGCATATAGATCAATGGAACAGAACAGAGACCCCAGAAATAGACCCACGCCACTATGGTCAGTTAGTATTTGACAAAGGAGGCAAGAGTATCCAATGCAGTAAAGACAGTCTCTTCAATAAGTGGTGCTGGGAAAATTGGACAGATACATGCAAAAAATGAAACTAGAACACCAACTTTCACCAGACACAAAAATAAACTCAAAATGGATAAAAGACTTAAATGTAAGTCACGAAACCGTAAAAATCCTGGAAGAAAACATAGGCAGTAAAGTCACAGACATCCCACGTAGTGGACTTTTCACTGATACATCTCCTAGGGCAAGAGAAACAAAGGAAAAATAAACATATGGGACTACATCAAACTAAAAAGCTTCTGCACAGCAAAAGAAAACAACTTCAAAATACAAAGGAACCCCACGGTCTGGGAAAACATATTTGCCAAGGATGAATCTGATAAGGGGCTAATTTCCAAAGTGTACAAAGAACTCATAGCATTCAGCAAGAGGAAGACAAACAACCCAATTAAGAAATGGGCAAAGGACTTAAATACACAGTTCTCCAAAGAGGACATACAGATGGCCAGGAGACACATGAGAAAATGCTCGATGTCGCTAATCATCAGAGATGCAAATTAAAACTACAATGAGGTATCACTTCACACCTGTCAGAATGGCTGCCATCAACAAATCAACAAACAACATGTGCTGGTGAGGGTGTGGAGAAAGGGGAACCCTAGTACACTGCTGGTGGGAATGCAGACTGGTGCAACCACTATGGAAAACAGTATGGAGGTTCCTCAAAAAATTAAAAATGGAGCTGCTGTTCGACCCAGTGATTCCACTCCTAGGAATGTATCCTAAGAATCCTGAAACATTCATCAGAAAGGATATATGTACCCCGATGTTCATAGCAGCACAGTTTACAATAGCTAAGATCTGGAAACAGCCCAAGTGCCCATCAGTAGATGAGTGGATAAAAAAGCTGTGGGACATTTACACCATGGAATACTACGCAGCTGTAAAGAAGAAGAATCTCGTACCCTTTGGGACAGTATGGATGGACCTGGAGAATATTATGCTAAGTGAAATAAGCCAGGCAGCGAAAGACAAATATCACATGATCTCGCTTATACGTGGAATCTAAAGAACTTAATAAACTGATGAACAGAATAGATTCAATGACATGGAAGCATAGATGAGACTGATGAATGTCAGAGGGATGGAGGAGGGCGGGTGGGTGGAGGGGGAGAGAGTAACCAAGGAATTTATGTGCATATATACACAACCCAAGGACATGGACAATGGTGGGGAGAGGGACTGGGGAGGGGGAAGGAACGGGGTGGAACGGGTCATTGGGGAGAAAAAGGGACATCTGTAATATTTTAAACAATAATAAAACTTAAAATAAACAAACAAACAAATAAATAAAATATTTATTAAGCATATACTCTATTTCAGGAACTGTCTTTAAGAAGGGAATATAGCAATGAACAAAACAGATTAAAATACCTGCCCATCTGGAGCTTACATTACTAAATAGTATGTTAGATGGCGGAAAGTACTATGGAGAAAAATAAATTGGAAAAGGGGATGTGTAGACTGTCCCTCAGTTGGGATTTGTTTGGTCTTTCATCATTATTAGACTGGGGTAATGGGTTTGGGGGAGGAGGGCCACACAGGGTAAAGTGTCGTTCTGGTCACATCACACTAAGGGCACATGCCAGCAGCATGACTTTGTTGACGTGAACCTTGATCACCTGGCCAAGGTAGTGTTTGTCAGGTTCCTAATAATTTGTAATTATAGATTAAT